CTACAACTAAGGATCGTGATGGCTTTCCATAGCAACCGTTACGAGTTAAAGCTGGACCACATTAGAGAATTTAAATCACATCTAAAATCTAAACTAAAATAATAAGAATTAAGAAAATAAATCGATCTGTTGAGGATAAGATCTGAACTAGTAGCACATAAAAAAAGGAACAGCAGGTGTGGGAGTGGAAGTAATCCAGTGACAAGCATTGTCAAACATTGAGCTGGATATGAAAAAGTGTGGCCCAACACGTCCAGAGACGGTGCTCAAATTTAAAGGAAAATAAATTTAAATTTAAAATAGAATAAAATATGATCATTGAATTTTTAAAAGATAGTGAAACCTCACAATTAAAAATTTGGGTATAAATTTAAGTCTTCTTTTATTTGAGTAAAAAAATAAGTCTTTCTTAATTTGATATGAGAATAGATCTAACATTAGAAAAAGATTTTTAAATTTTTTTTACTAAACTATAAATTTGAATTTAAAAAAAAAAATAAAGATTGTTTATGAGTTTACATTTGTATTTTGGTAGTCGTATAAATGCTTAACTTAGTTCGAGATAAACAAAAATTCTTACTCCGCCCTTGAAATGGAAGGTTTTTGTGGATGAGGGAATGGTAGATCACTCCTTTAGGTCAACAAAGGTTTACTCATTGTTATCAGAATTGAACCGGTTATTTGTATTTTGGTAGTCGTATAAATGCTTAACTTAGCTCGAGATAAACAAAAATTCTTACTCCGCCCTTGGAATGGAAGGTTTTTGTGGATGAGGGAATGGTAGATCACTCCTTTAGGTCAACAAAGGTTTACTCATTGTTATCAGAATTGAACCGGTTATTTGTATTTTGGTAGTCGTATAAATGCTTAACTTAGCTCGAGATAAACAAAAATCTTATTCCGCCCTTGGAATGGAAGGTTTTTGTGGATGAGGGAATGGTAGATCACTCCTTTAGGTCAACAAAGGTTTACTCATTGTTATCAGAATTGAACCGGTTATTGAATTGGCAGGGACTAAGTTAATGATTTATTGACTCAGTCATAAAGTCAATTGATCATATAATAAAAAAAATATAATAATTTAATTAAAAAAATGTAAACACATGTCCATAATGTACGCAATCCAGTGGGTGGCTGAGTTGAGGAGATTGATTGCCTGAGTTGAGTCATGTCATGTGTTAGAATGCGTTTGGAGAAGAGAAAACAGAAGAGGAGGGACACGATTTAGAGCAAAATTGTCCTAAAAAATTGATTTTATTTTATTTTTTTATTTCTTTAAAATTCGAACTGCCCAATTTAAACAACTCATCCGATTCTTCGGTTTTATATAAAATCATTCGATTTTACAATTCAAAGGCAGTTTGACTACACATAAGATCAAACTCAAGAACCGGACCAATTTAGGATCCAATTCACTGTCTAATAGACTAGACTGATTCAATTCTAATAACATTGGGTTTATTGGCTGCATCCTTTAGTGGAGTCGAAGTGATTTTTTTTTATTAGTATCGATGAAATTAAATCATACATCATTAAATCTATTTAATATCTTATCATGGAGGCTGTTTTTGTTTTTAAGTAGAACAATTGATTTATTTTAAGAATTTTATTTGGGAATCTAGTTTATTATAATCATTAGATTAGTAGCAATTCGAATGTTATATAATACTCACTTTTCATCCAACACCAATTATGAGCTAATCTTCGAATTAAATTCCTAAATTAAATATAAATAATATTTTTCTTTAAAATATCACACAAAAGTTTACTATTAAGTGGTGCTTAATAACAAGCGGGCTTCAGTATTGCCCGACCCGTTGTACAGTACTTTGATTGGCTGTGTTGGGCACATTTAATAGGATCCGCACGCTACACTCCTTCAAGTTGGGCCAACCTCTGACGTTGGCCCAAAACTCACTCGATTTCTAAACTTTTAGGTAGGTATAGCAGAACATAGTCCAGTCCTCTTTCTTGCTTCTCTCTCCACCTTTCTGAGGTGAAGTTGGAGAGAGAGAGAGAGAGAGAGAGAGAGAGAATGGCAGTACCAGGCAGACGCAACGGTTTGATGGGCGACGACGACGAGGAAGACGCTCTGTTCGAAGAAGTAGAAGAAAGATTGTTGCTCGATCCAGAGTCCGACACACCCCCGCACCTCCGTGACCTCGCCTCCGCCGCCGCACTCGGCGACGTCGACGCCCTACGCCTAGCCCTAGGTATTACATGTCTATTTCTTTCATTAATATCTGTAATTCTGCCCCATCAACTGGTTGTGGTGCCCAGAGCCCACCATTTGTGACTAAACCTTGGGGTTAACATAACAAAGGGATGGATGTTTAATTATTGCGTGAATCTTTGAAATTAGTAAATTTAGTGCAGTATGTGGTGCGTGTGTGTTTCGGCACTTGAAATTTATTAGAATCTGTGTGTTTTCTGATTAGAGGTCGTGACGCAAGCTATTGAACGGGAAGATTATGCATTGTTAAAGGCGCTGTTTTTGAGTTTGAGAGACTCTGCATTGAGCTACATTACTACTTTCTACTATCTTTTTTTATTCATTTTTTAATTCTATATTGGCGTTTGGCTTGGCATTGGCATGTGGCTGCCTCGCCCAAAAGCTTCCATGCCTGAGCCAAATTGGTTTATACTTGGTGAAGTAAACCCTTGTGCAAAATTGACTTCCGAAGGATTTGGATGTTTACTTGGTCAAGTAATAAAGTGGTTCGATAAATGCTCAAGTGGTATATAACGACTATGGCCCCGACTCAAGTTGTTATGATTCTTTGGCTCACAGTATATTCATTGCTATCGCTGTGTTTTTGCTCACTAACCCTATTATAGGGGGGTGGCTCTGTAAAAGGGGTACTAGGCGAGTCTCTCTAGGACCCTTATGCCCCTAAGCCTTGACACACCAAACCAAGGTATGACCGTAATAAATGTTTGTCATGATTGAGGTAAGACATTCCAAAGTCCGAGACCTGAGATGTAGGGCCGATGATCAGAGGGACCTGTCGTTGACAGAAGTCCATGCATGATTGAGGAAGGCAGCTCATGCATGGGCACGTTTGGCATGACTAGTGGGTTAATTGAAGCCCTATGCATGGCTGAGGGAGGCAGCTCATGCATAGGCACGTTGGGCACAAGCAAGAAAATAAGCAAGGCTAGCTGGATGGCTCGATTTTGTGGGGCATTACTTGCTTAAAAGACTAAACCATGAGCTGGACATAGCTTGGCACACAGGTAAGGCTAATTTAGATGTTGTGGGCTCACAAGAAAGGCACATGCACAACATGTGAGACAGTTTTGAATAGTTGAGGCATGAGCCCTACAAATGGTGGCGGTTCTGTGCAGTTGTTGGCATGTGCACAGCATGAGGGAGTTTTTGGCATGTGCACACAGTATGCAATGAAGTTAGGGGCAGTTGCTGACTGGGTCAATCAATAGTTGCAACTGCCTCTGCCATGACCAGCACATTGGAGAGAATGATTGAAGGTCTCAGACTTTCAACCATGGTCAACAGTCGTGTGAGTGAATCTGATGTAGTTTTGCAGTTGCCTAGGCGGTTGGGCTTGTAATTGTCATTTTGTATGCTATATATATATATGCATGTTTGGGTCTGTAGTGCAACCAAGAGAGTAAAGTACATTTTGTAAGTAGACCTTGGATGAGTTTCCTTTAGGCTTTGTTGAGAAAGAAAAAGGTTTGGCCAATTGGCCTGTAAAGCTTGTGTGCTGTTGTGAGTTTGCTTGCTGTCTGTATTCTGTTCGTGTGTACATTTTTGTGAGCATTTGAGTGCATTGGCTGAGACTGAGTTTGGGATATCAATGCCATCACGTGGCAAAAATTCTAGTGAAAAGTAACCGCCGTGGTAGCGTGCTAGAGGAATGTTACTGTAATTTGACACCCAAATAGATAAATGAAATTGTGTTGTCTTGAGTTCACGAAATGAAAACAGTGGAAACTCTCAATTTGTTATCCGTAGGATTTGTTGCTACCCAATCATGGACCAATCAATCTACCTTTTTCAATTAATTCCTAATTCCTTCAGGACTTACCAATACATGTGTGATAAACATGCTTCATATTTACTGTGCCATGTTTGAATTGGTGGTTATTGCCTTAGATGTGCACATTTATAGCAATGAGAGAAATTTGGACTGAAGGAGAATCCACCTTGTGCAATACCAATATCAGTCAACTCCCAGTCACAATGGACAACTCTTTGTAGAAAAGTTTGTTGCTTTGATTGCAAGAACCTTTCAACCTCATTGTAATATTGTGACTTGATTTTTTTTTTTTGTAGTTTGCTCAGCAACATGTTATTTCTCCTTTAGGATTGTTTCTCCAATTCCCATTGACCATCTTATGATCATCAAACATTATTACGATTGGCAATGGTCTTTTCCTTCCATCTTCTCACTGGAATTCATCTATACTACTAATAAAAGTAAACTATCAAGAAAATTTTTTGATTGACTATTTTAACCTAAAATAATATAATGACAATACTAGCCCTTTTTAATTTATAACTCATATTAATAAGACATGATTGATGTTAAACTTTTAATTAGACAACTTTACTTTCACAATACTAATATTATTAATATGGAATTCATATTAATAAAACTTTATTAATATTACACATATCTAAATCTTTCATATTCTTTCTTTTAAAAGACAAAAAATAATTCTTAAAATAATTAAATTTACTTTTATTTATGTCTATTTATTTTCATTAGTTGATGACAAGTTTCTAAATTTTTAAATGAAATTGCATAAATACACTAGAGTTTTATTTAGTATAAGATTTATTTTAATATAATTTGGATAATATTATCAAACCCTAATTTTTTATTTTCTTCTCTTTTATGTTTTACTTTTAATAAATCCTCTTTAGTTATGTTTATTGGCAAATACTAGAAACCATTTTATATATATCAATTAGCAATGCTACGAATATGTTCAATCTCACATTAAATTACTTATCACAACTTAACTTTTTAAATTTGTTCAACTAATTGTTTATAATTAAGTGAACATCATAATTTAAAATAGTTAGCTCCCGTATTTTTCATAATTTAATAAGTGTCTGCGATATTTTTTAGTTACATATACCCACATACTATAAAATATATTTGTACCATTACTATGATGTTGCAAATAAAATTAATCTAAATAATTAACTTCACATGAAAAGTTTTAAACTTTAAGTATAAAGGTTTACAAGAAGGTAGTTCATCAAAACTTAAGAGAAAATAAAACAATAATAACTAATATTTGTTCTACAAATATGTAGTGTTGGGTTCATTACAAATTACACAAATTATATAATAGGAATATTCAAAAGGTTATATTTATTAGTAGGTATTTGCTATTATATTTATTTAATTATTTCAAAATCAAAACCAAAATTTAAAAAGTCAACCAGCAAAGCACGCGTGCATGATCTAGTAAACTTAAAATATCACAATTTGTAGACAAATTATTTGGTGTTAATGCTTGTCAAGAGGGTTTGAATCCCACATCTAATAACTAGGTCCACTAAGTTTGTCAATTAGTTTTGAGTTGAATGCTCTAACATGATATCAGATTTGGGCCTTAGATGGTTAGTGAACCAAGTCTCTTACCCATTTGAATTACCAAGTATGCATGTTTTTGCGTTTCTTTGTTGACCTCACTTGCGAGCCCGGGTCCTATGTAAGGGAGGGTATTGAGGGAGCTTAAATCCCACATCGAGTAATTAGGACCACCAAAGTTTATTTATAAAAATACTTGAGGGGTCACTTCATCCATTGTCAATTAGTTTTTAGTTGGATGTTCCGACAATGCTTACTCCTTTAGCTATTGTACTAGTGCTTTTGCTATTTAATGGCACTGCAGATAATTTGAGTGGCAGTATTGATGAGCCGGTGGAAGATGGGGACACTGCTCTTCATCTGACCTGTCTATATGGCTATCTCCCTTGCGTCCAGGTCATTTCCTCAGTATCATTTGTCATGTTTATTAACTTGTTTTTAATTGAACAAAAATCTGATAGAAGATGTAGTCCTTATGCTGTTGTTCTTTCATGTAGTTATTGTTGGAAAGGGGGGCTTGCTTGGAGGCTAAGGATGAAGATGGTGCCCTTCCTCTGCATGATGCTTGTGCAGGAGGTAGGCTGTTACCCTTGCCAACTATCTCTCACTATTGTCTTATGTAAAATCCTTTTTAACTTAAATTTTTCCAATGATTATATGCAGGATTTACAGAGATAGTTCAACTTCTAATCCATACCTCTAATGATCCGGTGTGTGTGAAGAGAATGCTAGAATCAGTCGATGTAGAAGGGGATACGGTCAGTGGTTTTCTGCTCATAGACGCTGTTTGGTTTTGGAATTCTGTGAGGGAACCAATATTGGATTAGTTGGTTAAATCCTTTATTAAAGCAATTGGCCATTAGTCAGCTTCTTTAAATGTCCTTCAAAAATAAGCTGGAATCTTTCAATTATCCTTATGTTCATTCCCTTAAAACCCTGAACCTCTCCCCCAGGCACAACCAGCAGCCTGAAAGGCCTTTTTTTTTTTCCTTTATGCTCATCATTTATGTTTCTCTTTTGTGCTGTTTCTGTAGCCTCTTCATCATGCTGCAAGAGGTGAACATGTGGATGTTATAAGATTGTTGTTATCCTCTGGTTCTTCTCCTACTAAGACAAATGTTTATGGACAGGTTAGAATTTGCAGTGATCTTTATGCTATTTTGTTTCCTTTCATATTTGGTTCCCTAAATCAGAGTATTTTGCAGATCCCCAGTGAGCTTGCTGATCCAGGCACAGAAGCTAAGAGAATTTTCGAAGAGGTTTCTGGTGTTGTGGCAAGCCTTTAGGCGTAAAATTTTTAATTTGGTTTTGGCTGCAGCCACTTTTTTGTTGGCTTTTCAGCTACAGGTGGGTAACGTAATTAATTTATATGAGTGCTGGTCAATTTGGTTGTCAAATGCTTTCAAAACTTTGGTGGAACGAGATGGAGATAGCTTCTTTATGAATTGTAATATGATCGTAATTTAGGTGGTTGTCGTGTTTCTTTTAGCCTGATCCGCAAGAAAGTTGGTCATTATTGTCAAGAGTATTCATCTCAGAATGATGTCTCTTTTGGAGGTTATTTCTAAACGCGTGACTCTATTTTGCTTGGAAAGCAATAGATCTGGAATGTCTGGAGACCCATTACATCTCTGCTCCAGGATTGAATCACCTATGTCGATGTTACTTGGGCGTTGGGGCTGATCAACGGTTGGTATAAGCAGCAGTGAAGAAGCCATTTATGTTCGAAAATGCACATTGAGAAAGTACAAGCACATTAATTGTAATCTTGATGTTTGAACTGTTGCCTATTATCGATATGAGAGGTGTACTAGATGTAGTAAAGGGTGATTTTCTAAAACTTCCATGCACAGAGCTCTCTCTGGTTGTTGTAGCAGCATGATTGTCTTGAGAAAAGTTTGAAGAGGTTTAACACACTCTCAATTCATATGCTGTGCACACCCAGTGACAGGCCACCACAAAATTAACTTGTGTGAAACAAAAATTTGTTTTTTCAAACAAATATTTGACAAAGTGATGGGTGACAGTTTTTGTATATAATAAAGTATTTTATAATTCAAATCTAAAAAATAAACAAAATAATTTTTGTTATTCGCGGTTGAGATCGTTTTAAATTTTATTTTAAAATTAATCTAACGACTAATATTAACGTCCTAAATTTAATAGAAAAAATAGGTTGTGTTTAGAGTGGTTTTTTAAAAGTAATTTTAGAAATTATTTTTCATTAGTACTTTATAAAAAATAGTAGTGTTTAAAATTGTCCCACCACCATCGTCCCACTATCGCCACTGCAACCGTCGTCGCCACCACCATTACCTTTACCACCACCACCGTCGTTGTCGTCGTCGCCACTGTCACAGTTGCCACCACCATCACCACCGTCATAGCTACCGTTGTCGTTGCCATCGCTATAACTACTGCCGCCACCACCACCGCAGCCCCACTGTCACCGCCACCGCCACTGCCACCATCACCCCCATCATCACTACTGTCGTCGCCACCACAGTCATTGTCACCCACCACAATCATTACCGTCTCCTACCACCATCATCACCACCACCGCCGCCACTACCACCCATCACCTCTAACCCTCACTACAAATCGATACTTAAAATTTTTTATCTCTTCTCTATATTTGTGATTTGATTTTGGATATAAATACAAATATGTTTATTGTTTACCATTTTTTATTATACTGTGTCTTCAAGCACAGACAATAATTAGTATATATAATAAAGTAGTTTACAATTCACATCTCAAAAGATAAACAAAATAATTTTTGTTTTTTGCGGTTAAGATTATTTTAATTTTTAATTTAAAGTTAATATAATGACTAATATTAATACCCTAAATAATATAGAAAAAATAGGGTCATAAGAGTGTGTTTAGAGTGACTTTTTAAAGTACTTTTAAAAATTATTTCTCATAAATATTTTTTAAAAAAATGTGTTTGAAACCGCCCAACACTATCTCTACTACCACCGTCGCCATCACCACCCCTACCACTACCGCCGCCACCACCACCATCGTCACTGCCACTACCATCGCCGCCGCCACCACCACCACCGTCGTTGTCGCCACTACTACCACTGTTATTGTCACCACCACTGCCATCGCCGTCACCACAGCCACCATCACTACTGTCGCCATCGTCGCTGTCACCATTGCCACCACTACCACCACCGTTGTCGCTGCCGCTACCACCACCATCGCTGCTACCTTTGCCGCCACCACGGTCATTGCCACTCACCACAACCATCATCGTCTCCTACCACTACCAACGCCGCCCACTACCTCTCACTCCACTATAAACCGATACTTAAATTTCTTTTTATCTCTTCTCTATGTTTCTGATTTAATTTTGGATATGAACACAAATATATTTATTGTTTAACATTTTTTATTACTATGTGCCTTCAGATACAGACAATAACTAGTATATAATACAGTAGCTTACAATTCATTCAAAAGATAAATAAAAAGATTTTTATTTTTCACGGTTCCGATCGCTTCAAATTTTACTTTAAAATTAATCTAACGGTTAATATTAACACCCTAAATTTAATAGGAAAAATAGGCCCCTAGAGTGTTTTCAGAGTGACTTTTTAAAAGTACTTTTACGAATTATTTTTCATAACTACTTTAAAAAAAATTGTGTTTGAAGCCGTCTTACCATTACCTCTACCACCACCATTGTCGTCGTCACCACCATCGCCACTGCCACTGCTACCGTTGCCACCACCACCACCATCACCATCACCACCGCCACCACCACCACTGCCACCCCCCACCACTGTCACCGTCGCCACTGTCACCACGGCCGTTGTCGTCTCCACCACCAACATCGCCGCCGCCGCCACCGCCACCACCACTGTCGTCGTCGTCGCTATCACCACCACCCACCACAACCATCACCTATCACCTTCTCCTATCAAAAATGTACACATCAATCACTTCTTTTTGGTCCGTAAGTAATAAATATAAGGGTAAAAATCATAGTTGGTCTCTAAACGTTACCTTCGATTTCAATTTGATCCCTAAATTTTCAATTGTTCAAATTTAGTCCTTCAACTATTAATTTCGTCTTAATTAAGTTCTTCTATCAATTTTCATTGTTAGATCTACTGAACACTAACCCAATCTAATTCATTTCAGCGTTGGTCTAAAGGTAGAAATGAATGGAAGGATTTAATTGAGACAAAATTGATAGTTGATGACTAAATTGAGATAATTGAAAGTTTTGAGGGACCAAATTGAAATCAAAGGTAATATGATTTATACCCCAAATATAAGTATTGACAATGGTGATGGCGGGATGGATGGCCAGAGAGAGAGAGAGGGAGAGATTATTGCTTGATTTACATAGCCAAAATAGATGGTGTGATGGAAGATGATGAGATGACGATGCTGAATTTGGTACATCCTACTTTGGAAGACCATTAAGGATTAAATTATAATTTTCCCTTTTATTAAATTAGGTGTTTTACAAAGAAAACCATTAATTCCAGTTGAAAGAAAGAATACTATATCTACCATCTCAATTGCATTGTTAATATTGTGTTTCATTTTTATTAGTTCATCTCCCTAATTTTTTTCTAACATGTAGTTCTCCGAATCTATGGCACATGTTTACTGTTGCTATAATAAAATTAAGAAAAAAAAATGATTTTTAGAGCTAGAGTAGTTAGGCCATTAACCAACTGTTGTACCCAAAAAAAAAAAAGCAAAAACTTTTAGCATTGCCTAAAATTAATTAAGGATATTAGAAAAGAGAAGCATACCTGTCCGCAAAATAGATTGTCAGAATTGGGGTAGAAGCTTCTAAGCATTGGCAGATCCTCCATCACCAGGGAATTGAGTTTTGGGAAGCCGATCCTTTTGGTATCGTTTTCATCAACTTCTTCCTTTACCACAATATATTCTAGTTGTTCACACCGACTTATCCAAAGATGTTGGAGTTGCACAAAGCATTTAACTAGGGAGCATGGAAAGAGACTTTTCATTGCAGGTAGGAGATCTAGCACCAGGTTTTGTAAGTTTCCAAATGCAAATGACCCTGCTGCTAGTTCCTTCCAGTTTATGATTTCTTCCATCACCTTACAATTTATCAGTATTAGCTCTTGTATAAGGTGTGTATCGATCTCAGATTTTTGAAACCTTGAAATTCTTTGGGAACCATCCTCCATATATGCGTTAGCTTAGATAAACGATATAGGTACAATGAATCTAACTGATCGAATGTGACTTCTACATCTCTTCCTCTAACCTTTACCTCCTCGAAATCAAACACTGCTCCTAGTGCCACACAGGATTTCACATTCATGACTCTTAATTTGTCGAACGACCCAACTTGCATTTGGCAGTCCACTAAGTGTAGGACGTTACCCATGTTCCAGGTGATCATTGTCTCCATGCTGGGCAAATAAACCTGTGATATCCAATTAGCGTGTTGATCACTTGATTATTTTGAGTACATGGACATGATAAATTACAAGTTCACTGATCCTTATTAAGGACAACCCTGCAACATTTAAGTCTATTAGTTTTTGGCCAACTGTTTCTATAATCATTCTCATCATTTCAATCTTTGTAAATGATAATTTGTCTTTTGACTAAACTCTCCATTCTTAATTTTTTTATTTATCACTTTCACTTTCTCTCTTCCACAATTTTCTTTTCTTTTTAAGCAAATATGGAAATTGATGAAAAGTGTAAATATGATAAAATATGAACAAGTAAATAATCAACCTAATAACATAAACCACATTAATCAAAGGTTACCGGGTAGCAAGCTAAGTACCTCTATAGTGTGTTTTAATTCAAAAACAATGTTAATGTCTGTAGTTGGTTGGATGCTAAAGGCCTTTTCTAAATATAAAACTCAGCTCCATAAATATTAGTCCCTACTATTCAGGGTTTGTAGTTTTAAATGGCTTTCCCTTATTTTGTTAGCTTGAGTTTGATAAAATTTTTGAAAACTATTTTTATAGAGTTAAGATATTGATGTCTAAATTAACTATTCTTAATCACTAACAAACCTTTTTTCTCATAATTGTATCCCACTTTGAAGAGAAAAGCAAGTGTGATTTAATAGCTAAAAAAAGTTAAGTGCCCGTTGTTTTATTTAATTAAGCGTTTTACAAAGAAGACCAGTAATTCCGGATGGAAGGAGAGAGCACAATAAATACTATCCTACAATTCCATTCTTAATATTGTTTTTTATTTATGTAATTATTGAACCAGTTATAAGTTTCAATTTTAGATGGAATCTACTTTCAATCAATGACCGCTTCAAATTAGGTCTCGAGATTAGGTCATTAAATTAGGTCCAAATAACATTTTTTTTTTATTAGTTCATCTCACTATATTTTGTTAATGTGTAATTCTCTCTAAAAAAATTAGACATGTTAAATGTCACTATAATAAAACTAGGAGAGAAAAAAGATATTTAGAGCATGGTTCAAGGTATCGGCCGAGTCGTATTCGACTCGGCCATTGACAATACAACAACGATACACGAATCGCAAGATTGACGATTTTCACTAATATCGGCGAGATATCGGACGTCTCGACCGAAATCAATAATGTCGGTGATAAATCGGTTCAACTCGGATGACTCATATTGGAATCTTTCCGAGTCGAACACGATAGTGAAAAAATTTACCCATATCTACGAAAAAGAGCAAAATCCCCTCATATCTGCAAAAAAGTCCAACACCCGTGTCACCCACACCTTTGTAAAAACTTAAAACTCTTAAATCATTTTTTTGAAAATTGAACAAAAATCCAAAAAAAAAAAGAGATGAAAAATAAAGTAGACCAACAGACCCACTATCAGTAAACCCATGTGAAAATTTCTGAAATCACATGAATCTTGAAGCAGCAAACCCTATAAAAACCAATAATA